AAAAGATATATTTTCCTCACGTAAATATTCGCGGGGGGTCAACGGGGGTCGCGGGGGGTGAGCCCCCCGGGTGGGTGCGGGCGGGTGAATCGCCCCCCAAATGGAAACCCTACTCAAAAGTTATGAATTCCATTCGGTCGGGAAATTTAGCCAACCGACCGACCGCCGACCCAGCCGAGCCGTCGGTCAGTCAGCGGTCGGTCAGAGGAGGTCAGCGGCCGATTTCCGACCGACCAAAATTCTAGAACCTTCAATTTTCATCTTTCCAGCAAAACCAGACACTCCCCATCGAGGCATTAATTTCTCAACAGCATGCCATTGAAGCCACGTGGCAAACTTTCAAAAATCTAGATTTTTCCGAAGAACCTATAATCCCAGGATTCAAACAAGAAGATGATAAGACACTATTTTTTCAACTTTTTGCTCTGGTAAGTTTTTTAAAAGGCCCAAAAATTCAACATTTTTCTTATTTTCCAGAGATCTTGTGATCAGGATTTCAATCAACTTTTCTCAAATGTGAAAAAATTCGCAGAAGTTTTCAACTGTCCGGCTGGTTCTCCAATGAATCCGGACATTAGATGTGAACTGTTTTAATTAGTTCTGTAATTATATAATTTTGTACAAAATTAGAAAAAATAAAAAAAGTTTATTACATATTTTTCGAGATTTTTTCATTCCTCATCGTAACGATTCTCAAAGAAAGTAGTCAGTTTATTCGTCTACCAGCCATCTATTTGCCGGGCCTCCGGCGCTTCAATCAGCTGGCTGGTGCGTCTCGGCGCAATTTAATCTAGTTTTTACTTTTACCTTATTTCAAGTTTTTCAAAAGTCTACATAAGTCGATTATAGTCGTATTTAAATATCTGAAAAGATAATTATCCAAGAACAAAAATTCAATCAAAAATATTCATCCTCTTCTCAAAATATTCGACATTTTTTCTTCGGATTCATTTTCGATCCAACTGGACACTTGTACGTCTTCGCAAAAGATTCCAAGTTCGAAAATGCTCCATTTATTCGAAATCGATTTGTTGGATGGCTGAGGTCTACAAGGAATCTTGGGTGATGAGTGTCTATTCGAGTTGGAGAGCAGAAGTCCTGGAAATTCAGAATCTCAAGGAAACTAAAAGATGCTGAATATTGATAAAAATTAATCCTGAAGAAAAACAACTTTTGCAGGATACCATGACCTTCGTACTTGAACTTTGACCTTAATTATCTCGATTCCCATAAGAGATATCAAAAATACGTCAACTGATAAAATGTTACTGATAATATGACAAGAATTTTATTAGTTAACAGATTTTCGATATTTCTCACAGATTTTGAGAAAATTTTGCTCAACGTGCAAGAGAGAAAACTTACCAAAGCGGCCACTTGAAAAAAGAGCCTTCGAAAATCTTCATTCCCAAATTTCACCAAACTCTTCATTCGACATATCAATACTTTCCAATGCAAGCCACGTGGCTTCCAGTCCCAGCGCGTCAGCTACCATCTCCGATGCCGTTTCCGAATCATTTTGTCTTCCACCGTAAGATGGATCCTTGAAATTCTCAAATTGATCTCGGAGACACATTACTCGTTTGTCATATTCCATAGAATCTTCTGGACTCCACCAATCAGTTTTTTCTCCTAGTTCACCGAAAAAACGTCCCTTTGTATCAAAAGCGTGACCAATTTCATGAGCCAAAATTCTTCCAACTCCAGCCATTGCCACGTATTTTGGATATTGGAAATCGAAAAGAGGCTTATCAAGGAATGGGACAAGGACACCTAGAATTTTAGACTATTTTAGGGCATTTTTAATATTTTGGACATTCGGACATTTGAACAAAAACATTTTAATTTTAATTTTGACATTTTAGAAACTCACTCAATAAATTTTTTGAATGAAAATAGTAAGCGTTTGCCGTTGTCGTTTTTTCGACAGGATTGAAAAGTGAATCAGATGACACCTAGTCCATCAATTGCTCCGTTTTGAATCGATTGATTTTGGTCATCAGGGTAAAGAAAGAGTCTTCTGGAGAGAGATGAAGCTGAAAATTGTTTTTAACAAGTGCCGAATTTCAGATTTTCGGGAGTTTACGGGAAATTAGAATTTTAGGACTTTTTAAAAATAGTTATTTTGCAAAAGTCATATACTTCGAAAATTGGAACATTGTGGAAGGGTCATTCCGAGATTCTGAGATTCCGAGATTCTGAGATTCTGAGATTCTGCGATTCTGAGATTCTGAGATTCTGAGATTCTGAGATTCTGATATTCTGAGATTCTGAGATTCTGAGATTCTGAGATTCTGAGATTCTGAGATTCTGAGATTCTGAGATTCTGAGATTCTGAGATTCTGTCGCGAATTCAGGTGTCTGAAGAACACCTCTTCACGACTTTTACCCTTTTCTGAATGAATTCTCTTCCTTTTCCCTTCAGTTACATATTTTATTCACCAATACCGACGCCGCCCAACAACGATGCTTTTGAATTGCCGCCGACGGACTACTGTACCTGCTGATCTAACTCGGTCTCGCCGCGCACCAAGGAAACGCGCCTGACTTTGGGAGGATTGGAGCGCCCGGTTTTTAGGACCTCCCGGATCGTGATTAGTTTTTTGCTCCGTCTGAGATTTTGAGATTCTGAGATTTTGAGATTCTGAGATTCTGAGATTCTAAAATTCTAAGATTCTGAGATTCTGAGATTCTGAGATTCTGAGATTCTGAGATTTTGAGATTCTGAGATTCTGATATTTTAAGATTCTGAGATTCTGAAATTCTGAGATTCTAAGATTCTGAGATTCTAAGATTCTGAGATTCTGAGATTCTGAGATTCTGAGATTTTGAGATCCTGAGATTCTGAGATTCTAAAATTCTAAGATTCTGAGATTTTGAGATTCTGAGATTCTGAGATTCTAAGATTCTGAGATTCTGAGATTTTGAGATCCTGAGATTCTGAGATTCTAAAATTCTAAGATTCTGAGATTCTGAGATTCTGAGATTCTGAGATTCTGAGATTCTGAGATTTTGAGATTCTGAGATTCTGATATTTTAAGATTCTGAGATTCTGAGATTCTGAGATTCTGAGATTCTGAGATTCTGAGATTCTGAGATTCTGAGATTCTGAGATTCTGAGATCCTGAGATTCTGAGATTCTGAGATTCTAAGATTCTAAGATTTTGAGATTTTGAGATTCTGAGATTCTAAGATTCTGAGATTCTGAGATTCTGAGATTTTGAGATTCTGAGATTCTGAGATTCTAAGATTCTAAGATTCTGAGATTCTGAGATTCTGAGATTCTGAGATTCTGAGATTTTGAGATTCTGAGATTCTGATATTTTAAGATTCTGAGCATTCTGAAATTCTGAGATTCTAAGATTCTGAGATTCTAAGATTCTGAGATTGCTGAGATTCTGAGATTTTGAGATCCTGAGATTCTGAGATTCTAAAATTCTAAGATTCTGAGATTTTGAGATTCTGAGATTCTGAGATTCTAAGATTCTGAGATTCTGAGATTTTGAGATCCTGAGATTCTGAGATTCTAAAATTCTAAGATTCTGAGATTCTGAGATTCTGAGATTCTGAGATTCTGAGATTCTGAGATTCTGAGATTTTGAGATTCTGAGATTCTGAGATTCTGATATTCTAAGATTCTGAGATTCTGAGATTCTGAGATTCTGAGATTCTGAGATTCTGAGATTCTGAGATTCTGAGATTCTGAGATTCTGAGATTCTGATATTTTAAGATTCTGAGATTCTGAAATTCTGAGATTCTAAGATTCTGAGATTCTAAGATTCTGAGATTCTGAGATTCTGAGATTTTGAGATCCTGAGATTCTGAGATTCTAAAATTCTAAGATTCTAAGATTCTGAGATTCTGAGATTCTGAGATTTTGAGATCCTGAGATTCTGAGATTCTAAAATTCTAAGATTCTGAGATTTTGAGATTCTGAGATTCTGAGATTCTAAGATTCTGAGATTCTGAGATCCTGAGATTCTGAGATTTTGAGATTCTGAGATTCTGAGATTCTAAAATTCTAAGATTCTGAGATTCTGAGATTCTGAGATTCTGAGATTCTGAGATTTTGAGATTCTGAGATTCTGAGGATCCTC